AGATGATCTTTAATGTAAATAGCAACTCCTCCTCCATGCTCCTGACGATCTCTCCTCAGTACATTGTAATTAGCAATATGAACGTGAGATGAATCTATTGCTTCATGTAACCATGTTTCACTTATTAGAACGATATCTGGTTCATTTTCTAAAACAAACTCTTTAAATTGCGTAATCTTCCCCATTAAAGAACGGACATTGACATGAACAATAAATAAACTATTAACACAAGTATCTTTTGTATTCATAAATTAAAATTGACACTATAAAAAATGTTACACGAAAGAAAAAGGATTGTACGGAAAAATGTACTTCGGTGGGTACTTACAGTTCACTATGTGCTCCCCTTTTCCGCAAAAAAAGAAAAATTAACTAAACTAAGAAGTGTTACCTAAGGAGGCTCCTAAAAAAAGAACGATTGGATTATACATACAAAATACTGAATGGAACTATACCTATACAAAACTTAGTTATCTATTGATAATGATAAACAAAATAAATTTTCTGATATGGTAATAAAAATAAACAAAAATCCCATGCATGCAGAATACAAGTATAAACTACGTTAAAAACTATCTTCTCGTTTCTAAAGCCCTAAAAACAGTGGAAAAAAATATATATAAGGTATCAGAATATTTCGTTCCAATAAAAAACTAAATTTGTCACTTGGGAAAATCACTAGCCGTTTGAATGGAAACTTTTTTATTTTTATAATTCACCATCACGCGTCCGTCGTACGACCATACGTTGTGTCCGCCATATCTGGATGCTGCTTCTTGCAGGAGGCTTAGCCGCGACTTGGTCAAATCTTCCTTGATTGAGTAATGAGTACCTTTGAGTAGCTTTTTCTTCTTGAATACTTCCGCTCGCAGTCTGTATGAAACGAACTTTATCAAAATAGCTCTCGATTTCCCATCTCGAGGCAAGCCAACTCGATGACTTCGGTCGATGTCACGAAGTTCAATATTGACGTTTAGTTTTTGTTGAATTACTTCTATCGCTAGTTGGTCGGGATTTTCATTGGAACATTCCTTTATACCAAAAAGACGCAAATTGTTCCTCCTCGAGTACTGCTCAAGTGCATCTAATCTTGCATCTACTTGAATGGAATGCTGTTGACGTTCAAACACCATATCTTTAATTTCACTTACAGTGGCTAGAATGGCTGAAAACTTGCTTTCCACTGTATGTTCAATTATTGGAAGAAAAGTGGATTTCAGTTTTTCACAAATTTTGTTTATAAATTCGTCAGAATCGTCGCTTGCGGGTTGTACGCTTGATCCTTGCCGAGTATTTGGCATCGTTGATAATGATAACTTAACTTATTGTTACCAAGGTTAACTCCAGAAAAATTCGTAAATATCGATTTTTAGCTACAAACACAGGCGAATTTAAGTTTCAATATTTACCCCACGGTCCACCACTTATGTTTCACAAATAGTTCCAAATTTGCACTTATATTACCACCAATTAACAAATTATTTGGAGGAGCACCAGTAAACGCGCGTGTTTAGCTCGACGTGCGCATATTAGTATTCAAGATAGATGTTGCCCTAGCTTTTAAATTCACGGACATATTTTGTTCCTCCGGTATCAATCTCATAGGCTCTTTCTGTTAGCTGGCGACTAACTGTAGCGGGTTGCCATCGTTTATCTGTATCAGGTTTGAGTTGGACCTGTACCCCCTCGCCTATATTAAGCTGTGGGAGATCCTTCCCCTTCTGGAACTTTAGGTACATATTTCGAAACATTTGACGGTATTCCTGTTCTGGTAGGTCGTGACATCAACCTTCCAACACAGGACTATATCTTATTTTGTTGAGAGTGTTCCTGTGATGCAGAAGCACCCACCAGAGCTCTTCATCACTTTGCTCCGATTTTTTGATTAAATTCTTAGCTATCTTAACAGCTGCTTCGGCTTTACCGTTACCTTGTTGATGATAAGGAGCCCATTCAAAAATTATGGACAATTCAAAATGGTCAGCTGACTTCACGCACGAAATTAAAGCACAAACGACGGGTTTAATTGCAATCGTTTGTGCTTCGTTTGTGCTCGTTTGTGCCGTATAACAAAAGTCAGCAAAACCAACCATACAAAAATTATGGGCAATTCAAAATGGTCAGCTGACTTCACGGACGAAAATGAAAGCGCAAACGGGGGCTTCAGGTACAATTGTTTGAGTTTAGTTTTTGCCGGTATGTCCGATATAATAAGTCTTTAAGAGAACCTGTAATACCTACACAATTATAGATATAATGCATGCACAAAGTTGCAGCACACCTAACATAAGATGCACGAATTCAAACAGCTGTAGATTTAACCATAGTGTAAAGACTTACTTATTTAACGTATCTAAGTAATTGCACATAATATATAACTGTATGTAAAGTTTTATGAAGAAATACAATACAATATTTTGCTTTTCCATTAAATAGTGTTAACGATTTATAGGAGTGTAGGTAAAAGAAGTCCTATTTGGGGTTATGCTTAAATTTTCCAAAGGCTGTGCTAAAATGTTCTAATTATTACGATTCTGATAGAGATTTATAATATACGTACCGTCAAATAGTTAAAGTTAATAAGTTGAAACAATACTGCTGTTTAAATGTTTAAACTTATTTAGGTAATATATAGTCACAATTTACTGCTTTTCATTTCAGACTTTTACTACATTAGATATGCCAAAATTTTACCACTATTGTTTCAACTTATTAGCTTTAACTATTTGACGGTACTTATATTATAAATCTATAAAACGTTTTACCACACCCTGATGATGGCCATAGGCCTAAATCGGTAGCTTTAGAAAATATAAGCATAACGCCAAGTTTGATTTCTTATTACCTACACTACACTCCTATAATAAAGAAATAAATTCAAAAAAATATGGAAAACTTTATAAAGAAAAGATGTTAACGATTTCCGACTTAAGGTGGCGCTTACAAAAAGTACAAAAGTACACTTTCGATTTCCTCAATAACAAATTTGTAGAATCGGAGTTCGTGAATTGTCAATGTAGGTCAAAAAAAATAAAGAAGACTTGCATGAAATTCAATATGCGCATGGCTTTAGCCATATAAAACGCAATTCCAAAAGTTGAGCCTAATCGATCAGCATTCACAGTGCCCTTTGCGCATCTCGACCATTTACAAACCGAATTTCAAACTTTCTTATTTATGGAGGTATTTAAATGAAATTTGATACATAGCCACTTGGAATAAAAGCAAATGTAGCGCCAGTTTCCAAATTTGGTTTTGCACATACTATACCTAGTCATACCCAGGACCTCGTTTTCTATATTTGTTTACACGTTTCTTTATTTTTCAAAATAGGTTAGAGTGTGGAACAAACAATTAAAATTATTTAAAAAAACGTTATTAGGATTCTCCGTAGCCTTTACAACAACCACATTTATCAGTTCATTTGATATCTTTCTTAGTTAAAAAAAATAATACTCAGGCATTGTACGTTTTCCAAGATGTGTAATAACCTTTCCAAAGACGATCAGAAATTGAGTATTGTTTTGTCAGATTCTTAGGTCAGTATGGGTTGTGCATAAGGGGGTTGTTGGCCTGGTGGGTTACTTTAAAAATCAGCCATTTGATATTTAAAGAAACAATATTTTTTATTTTTTTGATCTCTTTAATAAAAAAAAAAGTTTTTAAAGGTCTGCCTTATTGTATATTAAACAGCGGTTATTAATTAGAATGCATTGTTGAAGATATATTCAATTACTTTTTTATTTTCAAATTTGTTAAAGGGCTATTAAATTATACAAAACTAGACGGCGGAAGCACTATTACAAACATTTGAAAAAAAAAAATTAATTCGAATAGAGTATAGGGACCCTAACGAAACGTTTCCGACTCTCAGGTTATTTTTTTTTGTGTAGTAGATATACATACCTACAAGATATACACGTTAATTGATTTTAAAATCTTCATTATTAAATAAATGTTATCATATTATATTACGTATAATAAAACGAGGTAGCGTGATTATGATGTCACAATGATAACACTATTAAGAAAATAATTACCGATCTAATAATATTGAAATATAAGAATGAACGTTATCGCACTACTTGTTTCAAAACTTCTGAACGAATACCATGCAAGTTTAGTGGTGAGAAGAAAAACTGTAAAAGCTGGCGTCGACTAGAATCGACGAGTCAACTAGAATGGAATTGCAAAAATCAAAATTAAATTTCAGAATTTTTGCATCAAATTCATGTGTTGGCCATTGAGATAATGCTATTAATTTTGTTTCCAATGATCTTGGTACATGAATAAGAATAACCATTTTCACATGTTTTGCTCAAAGTCCATGTGGTCGCCAAACATGCATCAAATTCATGTGTTGGTCATTGAGACGATGCATCATGCTGTTGAACTTTTTCCCATCGATCTCAGTGCAAGAATAACGATTTTGACATGTTTTGATCAAAATCCATGTGGCATCAGAAAAATAATTTAACATCTTTGAATCACACACATGCGGTTATCAAATGTGCACGTGATGTACTCTTTCAGCACCAAGATAATGCGTTTGAAAGCTTTTACAACTCCAAATTCATGTGTAAAGAATAATTTTGGGTACATTTTGTTCTAATATTGAATTATTACACTTCTAAGAGGCATA